CCCCAAAACCCCAAAACCCCAAAACCCCGTCAATTTCAAATTCCAACATAAATTTAAATAAGGTAAATAATCAAAATTGCTTTTTTAACAGCGAATAAAATAACATCAGCTAGTGATTAATTCAAAGAAAGCCAATATCTTATTTGTTTTATTAGTAATTAGGAGTATCTCTTTCAATATCCAAAATCATTTTATCTATCTCATTTATTTCTTTAATCGAAGAGTTATCGATTCCTGTTTCATCAAACTTACCAGAATTCAATTTCCTCTTGATATTTTGAGCTTGGAACTAATAATCTTCTGATTGATTTTGAAGCAATTACTATTAGCTTATATTCAAAGGATTCTATATATTTGCTTAACTATTCTAATTCCAAAAAAGACCCTCTTCAACATTAGCAAATCTTTTTTCAGTTAGTTTGCTGTCTATCGTCTTGACTTTGAATGGTTAATCATGACCTGAAAGATCTATATACTTTAGTATCCTTCTGTCAATCTTGGTATGATCTTTATTTTTAATTGTTTATTTCAAGTACGATCCAATTTTCTCTTTATCATTCTACTCTGGAGTAGTTTAGAAATTCAGCAAGTTAGCTTTAAAATAAGGTAGCATGAATCTTTACTGCTTATTAAGTAAGACCTTGCTTATGAATTTTAATGATCTTAGCTACTTCATTATGTATCTTAAATCAAGCTCTTAGTCTATTTTTTCTACTCCTCGTCTGTATAAGATATCTTTCTGAACTTATTCTTTACTTGCTTTTTTGCAAATTCTTAGGCGTATTATGCTTGATTTTATTGCATCACTTAAAGAGTATCTAAATTTTTCCCTGCTGGTCAGCTATAAATAAAGCTTTTGGAAGAGACTTAATTCTTGGGTAGAGCTAGTATTTATGTCATTTTTTACTGTATTATCTTCAAAAGATATATTCTCCTCCTCTGCATTTTATCTTGTAAAGAATCTTGATTAAGCATTGTTTTGGTCTGTTTAAGAGTATGGCTTTTGCTTTTTTTCATCAAAGTTTTCTTGAAAAACAAATAAACTTTTAACAAGAGAGGTATAATACAAAGTTTTCTACACCTGAGAAATCATTCCATAAGCTATTACAATTATTATACTCATAAATCCTCCAGTATTTCCTAAAGCATCTAAAATAGTCATAAGTTTTCTATTAACTGTCTTTACTTAATCATCCATCTAAATATAGACTCCTATGTATGCATTATTATAAGCATCAATAGATTCTAGTTCTTGATCAATGCTGTAATCTATTTTAGTTTCGATGAATTTATCATTAACCTCTTGTTCAAGGAGCAAGTTATCTTGCTTGATGATCTCATTTTGACTCAGAAGCATATAGTAATACTTGCTTGTTCCATTTTTAGAAGTTAGGTAATAAGGTTTCAAGAATTTTTTTACTGATTCATCGCCATAGTCATTCTCATCAAAGTAAGAATTTCTAACTACAAAGTATATTTTTAGAAAAGAGGACACTCTCTCTATCTCTTATTTTGATTTGCATTTCTTGGTGTGGTTATAGACTTCATCTAAGTAAGTTTAATTACAGTCCCTGACTGATAGTTAGATAAATTTCGACTGCTCACCAGAAAAACTTCCCTTAATTTAATAATTGATAGTTTTAGGACATTAGTATCCATCTTTTATTCCTAAGTAATCTACTTAGCCCTCTTTTAAACCTAATCTTCCATAATTGCAATGCCCTAATGCAGTTTTAATCTTTTCCTTATGAAAGACTGAATTACCCAAATGATCTTTAACCCATGTGTATATATTTTGGCTAATTTATCTAAACTCATTATTATGATTGGATGGAAATCTTACAAATAAACATATTAGTCGAGCTCAACTTAAATTTAAGGCTCACGTTCATAGAATACATACTCTAGTCTTACCCCATAATCGAAGTCCTTTAAAGTTAAGTCATACTACGTTGGATTAAACATATCTAATTATTAGGTCTCTTCTGTAGAACGATGCCTAAATGGTGGCTGTTTTCGAGAACACAGAAATAATCTAAAGAGCAAGATATACAAATACTCCTATTCTACTAAGTACTGTCATTGATCCTCCAACAAATGATTTAAGATGAGGATCATTCTTGAATGTAAGGGATACAGGAATACCAAAACTGTCAAGGCTCTTTATGTAGGATTAAAGTTGTTTTGTGCTGTATCGAGAAGAAGATTAAGGTGATTTTGTTTCAATCATGAAATAGACTAATAAAATTAATATTTTTTCCAAATTTTCTATAGCTTCAGTCACGTTAATCTATATCATAATTTCATTCTCGCACCAATCTTTTTTACAATTGAATATGGGGTTTTGGGGTTTTGGGG